AGGTTGTGAGGAATCAGCATGGATCAAGACAGGAGCAGAACTGAAGGCCGCCTTGAGTGTGTCGAAGGCCTGCTGGGCAGCAGCAGACCAAGAGAAGGGAACATCCTTGCGAGTGAGATGTGTGAGAGGAAGGACAATGTCAGAGTAGTGATCAATGAATTTGCGGTAGAAGTTGGCGAAGCCAAGGAAAACCTGAACGTCTGACATTGATTGTGGAGGCTCCCATTCGAGAATAGTCTTGACTTTGGCAGGATCCATCGTGATACCCTCAGGAGTGACAATGTACCCAAGGAACTCCACAGACTGCTGATCAAAGGAACATTTCTCAAGCTTCACGTATAGGCCGTGTTCTTGCAGCTTCGCTAGCACCTTGCGAACATGTTCGTCATGCTCCTCCTGAGTTTTTGAGTAGATGAGGATGTCATCGAGATAGACAATCACCATCTGATCAAGAAACTCCCGAAAGACGTCGTTCGCCATGTGTTGGAAAACTGCTGGAGCATTTGTCAAGCCAAATGGCATGACAGTGTACTCGAAGTGGCCATAGCGGGTTCGGAATGCAGTCTTCCATTCATCACCAGGCCAGATCCGGATCAGGTTGTATGCTCCACGGAGGTCGATCTTGGTGAAGAAGCGGGAACCACCGAGGCGTTCCAACAGGTCCAAGATCAGGGGCAGCGGATAATAGTTCCGAATAGTCACCTTGTTCAAACCTCGGTAGTCGATGACTAGCCGCAAGCTCCCATCCTTCTTCTTGACAAAGAAGACAGGCGCTCCAGCCGGGGACTGCGAATGCTGAATGTAGCCCGAGGCAAGGTTCTCATCCACGTACTCTTTGAGGGCCTTAAGCTCGGACGGGGATAACCCATAGATAGGCCCCCACGGAGGTGACGCTCCTTCCTGTAAATCAATGGGACAATCATAAGGCCGATGAACAGGCAGTACACTAGTTTTTTTCTTGTCAAACACATCCCCAAAATCATGATACTTCTCAGGAAGACTGACAGGAGAAACATGCAAAGCAAAAAGAAAAAGAGGTTCTTCATTAAGGAGTTCTTTCATAGTGATTGTGGAGATAGGAGGAGGCGTACGACTAAATGGAATGATGAGACGAGGATACAGTCCAGTGTAAGATGGAAGAGAGGAAAAAGAAGAGGGTGAAAACTTTATAGAGTCAAGAACAGAACCCCAATTTGAGTTTAGGGAACTTTTCCTAATTCGGACTCGATGAACAGTAGGGGAAGCCGTGGGAGAGATGAGCTGTAATTCCTTCCAACAGATCTGAGGCTGATGTAGTTGGAACCAAGGAAGACCGAGCACCACAGAGGAGGACTTGCTGTTGATGATGTTGAAGGCGATATCGGTGACGGTGGACCCGATGTGTACTCGAACGGGCAACGTTTCCCTAAGTCCAGAAGATGGAGACACAAAATGCCCGCCGATGCCTTCAACCCTCAAATCCCGTATGGTAGGAGAAAGAAGAACGTGATGTCGGGCAGCAAAGTCCGTGTCCATGAAGCAGGAAGTTGCACCCGAGTCCAGTAATGCCAGAGCCTTGAGTCCTGATTGTCCGGTGAAAGAAAGGAGACATGGGACGCGGAAGTTGCGGGAATTGGTGGTGGCTTTGATGAAAGGTGGTGAGGAGCTTGATAAAGAAGAAAAGTGATTTTTATTCGGGGAGTCCAAATAGACAGCTCCTACTCTTTTTGGACAGGGTCGTTTCCCGACTGCAATAGAGGTGGACTTTGAGGCAGAGTGAACTCGAGCAGTCGAGGAGGCTTCTTGGGACATACAGCTGCTTTGTGATTAGGATCAGCACAATAGAGGCAAAGATTATGAGATATTCGACGTTGCTTCTCAGCAGGACTCAACTTCCCTCTAATGAGTCGGGGAGTACCAAAAATATCCATCGGAACCGGAGCAGTAGGTTCAGGAGTATGCCCCGAAGACTCAAGCTGGGATTCCTGAGTCTGGGACGGAAAAACAGCGGCGCGGCGACTTTCGTGACGACATTAAAAGAGACGATTGTCACATCGAACAGCTTTGTTGATGGCATCCGACAGGTCCTTGGGATCCTCCATGGTGAGCAACAAATCCTTGACACCGTTGTTGAGGCCGAAACGAAATTGGTCAATCAGGGCCCGCTCATCCCACTGAGTGTCCAAAGCAAGGAGTTGGAACTCTACAGCGTAGATCGAGGCAGGACGAGACCCCTGAGAGAGACGTCTCATCTTTGTGGTAGCAGCCCGAACCCAATCCGTCTCGCCAAAACATGCTTCGAGCTTCTCTTTGAACAATTGAAGATCCATCAGCTCTGGAACCATGACCCCTTTCATGCTCTTCTCCAGAAGAGGAGAAAACCATGACAAAGCTGCACCTTCGAGCAACGTCCCAATCGCGCCGATTTGAGACTCGGGAGTAGGGTACCGCCGATGTTGAAGTGCGAAGATCAACTCCATCTGGTTTAGGAATCCGCAAAGCTCCGAACGCTTGCCTGAAAATTTCGCCGGGAAGCTCACCTTTGGTTTAGGAACTTTGCTGGATCCTTAAGCCGAAAGTCGCCTTCAACTCGGTATTCTCAGACTGGATTTTTGCAAGGACTTCAGCAAAGAAATCAGGATGGCTTGGAGACTCCATTGGCAAGAAGAAAGGAAAAAGGGGGAAAAAAAGGCAAAAGTAATCAAACAATCAAAACGAGCTAAATCAAAAAACGAAAAAACACAATCTGAATCAAACTGTCAAGACCCCTGACAAGATCAAGATTGGAAAATGCAAAAAGACAAAGAGAAAAGCTAGTGGAAACAAAAAAGAGGCTTTAGACTGGCGTTGATTCAGATTGTGGAGAAATGGAACAAAGCTAACCTATATATACTATAGGTTGATGAAGCTCCACCACTCTTGGATCGAGGACGGCCTAAATATAGCTGAGGTCGAGGAGGCACCACATCATCATCAGGAATGTGGCTCGAGAGTCAGGAATCGGGAAGTGTCTCGAGAGTCAAGAATAGGAAAGTGTCTCGAGAGTCAGGAATAGGGAAGTGTCTCGAGAGTCAGGAATGTGGCCTGCAGGTCAGGAATCCGGCGAGAGTCAGGAATGTGGCAAGAATTGGGGGATTCCTGATAGTTCCACTCCCACTCTTGACCTATCAAGTCGGAGCTTTTAGTCCAAATATGTTACGCTTGTTTAGCTTTCGCTTCAGCCACTACCACGTGGCACCCTTCCGGCTTCATTTTGGGGCCTAGGGATTTTGTGTCCCACATCAGGCTAGGCACTTTGGTGGCCCTGAGGGTCAAAGTTATTTAAATAACATCAACTTCTCGAGTAGCCAAAGTGCCCAAGGTTACCCAGCTTGAGCTTAACCTCGAGCACTTTGGTGGCCTAAAGGGCCAAGGTTATTGGAATAACCTTGGCCCCCCGAGCAGCCAAAGTGCCTAAAGTGGAGCTTGGGCTGGCCACCTCAAACACTTTGGCTGCCTGAGGGGTTGAGGTTATTCAAATTACTTTGGCCTTTCGAATTACCAAACTGCCCAAGGTTGAGCTCAGTCTAGCGACTTTGAGAACTTTGGCTGCTCGGGGGCCCAAGGTTATTTAAATAACCTTGGCCCCTTTGGTCATTAAAGTGCATGAGATTAAGCTTGAGTTGGCCACCTCAGGCACTTTGGCCGCTCGAGAGGCTGAGGTTATTCAAACAACTTCAACCTCTCAAGCAACCAAACAAAGTGCCAAAGGTGGGCCCCACTTCATTTTTTTTTCTTTTTGTCTTTTATTATTTGAATTTTTTATTATCTTTATTTAGTTTGACTAACAAAATGTCTTCTTTTGTAAAAAAGAAAAATAGTACTACCTAAAAAAGTTGCTGGAGCCAAGAAAACACAAGAAGTTGAATTTAGCACTAATGAAGATATTATAATTGACATATCTATTGGTACATTGTGTAATAAACTTTAAAACAAAAGTTGCATTAAGACCATTTGGATGTAGTAGGGGAAACTTATTGCCACTTTCATAAAACTCACTTTGGGCAAATATAGGCTATCACATCTCTTATTACTTTCTCACTCACTCTATATTTTACATCTTTTAATTTGCCATTAACATATATAATCCCTATGTTGTCTAAGTTATCACATTGGAGGAAAAGTTTTTCAAGAAGCACTTGAACTACTACAACACTCTTAAGAGGATACACCCTTTCCCAACTTATAATTTTTAAATACCAATGCAATTTACATTGGTCCACTCAAAACAAGGAGTCAAGATCGCTCATTCTAACTCATCTACAGAAAAATTTCTTCATTCATTGCAAAATTACTTACTTGCAAAGCATTTTCCATTACCTTTACCAAAGAGAGTGCCCAAAGTATGCAGTAATAGTAAACTCAACCTATGGCATTTGAAAAGCCCTTAAAATCTAGCTTGCATGCTGAAAAACATCACACCTAAAGCTCTAACCCAAACTCTAAACTTTATTGATGTGTCAAAAAAAATTTAACATGAAAATGCAATGCAAAAATTTGCATATATAACACTAATTTAAACTTTGCCATACATATGTGGCAAACACCAATGCACACTCATGCATTAGAAAAAAGTTATGCTCAAAATATTATTTTGTGAATCACAGTGAGTTACAATAATTTAAGCACATATGTGGTTTTTTTCATATATATATTTTTGAAACATGCAAAAACTTTTATCAGGCCACCCACCCGAGGTACCCCCCCCTCTTGGGGGCTGTACCTCCCCTCCAAAATTGCAATAAAGAATTGCTTGTCATAATTGGATGGATTTTTGTCATAATTGTCATAGTTAGATTTTTTAAGAATTGAGTTCTAATTTAAAAATAGCAATTTAAAAATATTTGCTATGCACTATAAGACACTGAATCTAAATAATTACAATCAGTTATCAATCCTTCGGCATCCCAAATGCAAAATCCACTATCAAAGCTAGCACTCACAACATATACTAAAATTCTAGTGGCCAAAGTTGCACACAGTTGGTAAAGGTTTGTAAGCATTTTTATTCAAAAATTGCCTTTGCAATGTGTTAGATAAGAAATTCTGTAAAAACAAGTCTTTTGTTATTTGGTTCTTTGCTTCTGTTTAGAAGATCTCTTTCTTTTCTTGTTTGCTGGCTTTTGTGCTGCTTCATCATCGTTAGAACGCACGCCTTCATCGTCTTGCTCATCGTCATCCGAGAGAAGAAGATCTTCGACCCTGTCCTCCTCGACCCCCGCTTGATCGCCTTTCTCTTTCTCCTCCTCTTTTTGTTGCTTCTTCGTAAGAATCTCAGTCCTGCAATTATACCCGATCAAACAAAACCTGGAGAAGAAGTTGAGATTCAGACCCTGCTCTCTTCTTTTGTTGATGCCATTTCTTGTTAAACAACTCCTTGGCCTTGCCATCGTCTCGAGCGAGCTCGTCCTCGTCCGGCTTTTGCTTTACCTCCACACTGCAACAAGAGAGTAAATAAAAAGAGGTACTAGAGAAACGAGAAAACAACCTTGTTTCTACAAGAGCTTGCCGCCGTTCTTTCGCTCGTTCTCGTAGAACGTTGCAATATTGAAACAATGGACTTGTTCCAGCCTCCCTCTCAGCCTGTTTGTGAAAAGGCTTGAGAGAGAAAAGAACACCACCAAGCGCATGCACGTACCTTTAGAAAGGATGCAACAGCTTCGCTATCTTTTGGAGAGAACGAGACCCCTTCCCGCTTCTTTGTCACAAACTCTACATTTCGTTCAATCTGAAATAACAAAGTTCAGTGCTGGAAAAATTATAACCGTGAAAGTTGTCTTGCCTGTTCAACGAGCTGCCTCGCTAGCCTTCTAAAACGGTCGACATTCGTTTCTTTCACGAATCGACGGAGTTGAGCGAGGGGAATCAGAGCCAGCTCAGGAAACGCCACGGAGTAACACCACTGCGTCAAATGCTCAGCAAGCTGCTCGAGCACCGTGTTCACGCATTCTTCCTGAAAGGCCCTCGTCTTCACCACTGGTTTACCCACCTACAAATCACCAGCATGAGTTACGTGAAGAAACTTAAAAACACGCGTTTACCTTGATCACGACATGAAAATCTACGCTGTCCCCAGCTCCTCCAGTTGGCGGCTTTTTCATCTCTTTAAAATCGAGCATATCCAGCAGTACGGGAGCAACTGGGATGAACGTATTCGTGGCCGCTGCCAATCTGTTAAGCATCACCGCGCACTGCATTCGCAGAGGAAAGTAGCGAGCAGTAGGAACGAGACGAGAGACGCCCCCGAGAATTTGAGCCAGTGGATACGCTAGAGGCTGAAGATTATCCTTGCCAGTGTAGGCGCTCACTACTTTCACCCACAGTTCCAGCGAAGCCATGTACTGCCAGCAGTAAACTTTCTTGAAGGAATCCTGGAAAGTAAATATTCTATCAGCGTCACTGTCTTGAAGACAAAGCAGAGAAAACACTTACCTTGGATTTTACAGTGAGTGCGTTTCGGAGTATAATAGCCAGCTGCTTGATAAAAGTGAAGGCGCATTGGTACGAGACAGCAATGTCGATGCCATAGAGCTCCACTACACAATTTGCCAGGAATTGTATCCGAGGAAGTGTTGTCGCGCTTACAAACTTTGCGCTAGAAACGAACTGCTTGTAGATGGTCTTTGAGCAGGACTCGAGGCAATCCGTGCCAAGTTGCATGGCCATGTCGCGGATGCACGAGAAAGCTACGAAAGACAAGGATTGTTCGCCGGTGCTCCAGAAATGAAACGCAGCCTAGACAAGGAAATGGCTGAGAGTTGAAGAACATCTAGAAAAGTATCTGCATACCTTCAGAAACTTCCTTCCCAGAGCTGGAAACTCACCAAGAAAAACGATCGACGGCCTCAAACGTCTCAAGGTAAACGAGATCATCCGGTTGTCCGTCATCTGGTTTAACACATGTAGCGCGCTGGCGAGGTACGACTTGACAAACGGGAACAGCTTCTTCCAGCGGCCAATTTTCTTGAGATCTTCCGTAGCCACCTTTTTCTCTTGATGAATATGCAGCATTTTCTTGAAGATCCCGTCGAGCTCAGAGAGAATAAAGACCATGACCTTGTTGAAAACGTTGCTGCTATTGATGATAAATCGCTCCGAGAGCTCCTCCTCCTCCCCCTCCCCATAGTGACATGCGCTGCGAAAAGCACCAAGTAGCTTCCGCAGCGCGGCATAGTTCTCCTTTTCCTTGACAGCTATGATCCAACTTTCTACGTGAGCAATCGTCAGGGAGTCTTCTTCCTTGTCACGAGACGTTGGCTTCTCAGTATCGTCTTGTTCCTATAAAGAATAACTCGGATAACAAATCAAAAGAAACCAGGCAAGCCGTACCTCTTCTTCGTCTTCTTTGAACCCAAGAAGTTCTTGATCATGTTCCTCAAGGAACTTATAAAACTCTGGATCCTGCATAGCAGATTACAATACAATCGTTAAAGCGTCAGACTAGTTCTGAGCTACCTTCTCCTTGAGTTTCTCGAGATCCATTTTGTGCTTCTCAATCTCGGATTTGAACTTTTTGTTCTCGTTTTTAACTTCCGCGTTATCCCCATCATCTGGAAGACCAAAGTTAGCTAGATAAATCTTAGACAAACAAAAAGAATACCGCTGTCGGAATCGTCTTCCACATCAGGTGGAGTGATGTCAATAAAGTCTTCTTCATCTCCATCGACCTGATCGGATGACACCATTTTAATGCTGTTTTAGTTCGTGGTCTTACGGCTCACCTCTGGAAGAGGAGCGTCGGGATCACTCGCGTCGTCAGAACCGACTCCATTTTCAACATCATCATCGCCATCGTCAAGGAAATCTCCATCCATGAGCTCATCCACATTCATCTCCTCCATTTTCCTACAAGAAAACGGAAATTTGTCAATTTATCAATTTGTCTTCCGCAATTGAGACGTACTTCTTCTTCTTCGTCGACGCATCGGCAGCATTTTCCGCGAGGGCCGCCTTGCGACGCTTCTCTTCTGCAACAAGGATTAGATGCACTCACTGCAAAACCGCGATTTTTCTTCCATACCCAGTGCCGCTTCTTTGTGGCGGAGCGCATTTCGCATGGGCTTGAGCTTCCGGCGCTTGGCGATCACCGACTTGAGATGCTTCTTCGTGAATTTCTTGACGCTCTTAGGCGCTTTCTTCCCCATTGCTCAGATATCCCAAAACCCTAGCAAGACCCCTAGTAATAGGTATATTCTCCAATTTTGAGAAAAAGGATTAAACATGGAAAAGAATAAGAGAGAAGACTATATTCTCACCATGTTTCGTCTTCTTGGATGCATGAAAGACCTGACTTGACCGTGCAGAAGTGAATAGATCCATTGTTAATCAGGAACAATCTTCACATATGAAGACCATATGTAGTTGAGTGCTTTTGCTCGAGCACAGCTCCTGTTGAAACAATGTGTGTGTTAGTGTCTGGCAGTAACTAGCGAGTGGCATTTTAAGGTTTTCCTGAACCTTGGTGTCTCATGCTTGGAAATGCAAAATATAAACAAAACAAAAAAAAAAACGAAATAAATTGGCTCTTGAAACATATAATGGAAAGCTCACCCAGTCGAATCGCAGGAGAGCCCGGCCTGCAGCAAATATATGAAAACCAGAGTGTTAGAGTGTGCGTTTTTGTTGTCTCTGATGTTCAAACTCAAAAGTTTATCAATACTCAAGCATTATTTTCTTGGTATCAGGTTTTTTCTAGGTTCCTCCCGAACATCTGGTTGGTGGACAGCATTTTGCGGCATAACCGATGATAGTAGGCGAATCTAGGAATAATAATTCTAGTAATCTCATGGCTGGAAAGACACTCAATTTTCGATGTCTTATCTGGGCTTACAAATTTGTTGTGATAGGGAAAGGCATATCCGTAAGATTCATCAGCATATTTCAAATCTTTTCAAAGAGTACAGCTGTTTTTTCACGGTCCGATCCTTTTGTGCACAAGCTTTCCAGGCAGGACAAAAGGGAAATGGCCAAGCTTCCTTATCAAAACCTGGTTGGGGCATTGGTACATGTCAATTCATGTAGAACCATGGCACTAGTATGCAGTGGAGTGAATCATAAACTACATATGCCAAACTGCATCCTTACAGCTTGTGTTCAAGCAGGTGGCCAAAGGAAATATTTGTTCAGGGGTGTTGGTACCATATTGGATGGTGAATGTTATGCAGTTGTTTCTGGCACAGCCAAAAACAGAGAATGGTTGCATTATCAACTTGTGAAGCTGAGTACATAGTAGTCAAAGAGGCTCTATGGATCTGATGTTATTAGTTTTGGACCACAAGCACCATTGAATGTCTACAATGACAATATGGCGTGCCTACAATCTGCTCTGAATCCAATACACCACTAGAGGAACAAACACTTCGAAGTGTTCACTATTTCATCAAAGAGCAGATTGAAAGAGGAGGTGTACATTTCCACAACAAACATGACCCCAGATCTGCTCATGAAAACGACTTTTGAAGTCTGCCAACAACAGCTCAGACTAGTTTCACAAAGGGAGTAGCGATAGATCGGAGTGTTTAAACAATAGCAGCAAATCACAGTATGTGATTGAGGGACAATCAAAGGAAACTTATGTATATATCTCAATTCTTGTTTTCCCATCTTAGCTTTGATGTCCACTGAATGAAAAGGTGCTAAAGAGAGCAATGGCAGTCAGCTGGTCCGCATGTAAAATGTGGCCTGGTGTCTGTAGCTAGCAGAATGCAAAGGTCACCATTTTCTAGTGGCATCTTCATCATGTTTTCGCTGTTCAAGTAGCTATGAAGAAAGCCACAAAAACTTAGGCCTAATTTATATTTAACCAAGCGCAGCAAATTTTTCAGGATGGAAAAGAAATATGAAACAAAATGGAAAATTGTCTTTCTTTAAAGCTTCCCCTCTTCCTTCTAAAGTGTGCTTTGAAGGAAGCATGATCTGCGTTACCGTGGTCTACTGATCTGGGCCAGGAGAGGTTCAAACATCCTCCGAAGCCAAGGGCGAGGATGCTGAATTATCTACAGCCCTATGGGAATGGGTGTTGTAGACGCCGACGGGGATGCCAATAGGTCTGTTCTCTGTGTTTATCTGTTTAAAAGGCTTGTTTTGTCCTAACTTATTTGATTTTGTTGCAGTGCCTTCTCGAACAACACTTCAGGCTGTGCCGGGTACCCATTTTTGTTGGTTGAAGTGGCGCTGATTGATCTTGTGGTGTCTAGCTTGCTTGAGTAATAGCTATCTCCTGGTTTTTGTTCAATGTTATTGTGTCCGTGAATCTGAGTTAGTTCGGGCTAATCTGTGTCTTTGTTGCTGCTGTCTCACGTTGTTTGATTCTCTTATGCGTTTTTGCGTTTAGCCATTCTAAGCTATGTGATTTCCGTTTTGTTTTGTGTGGGCTATTTCACCTATTCATTGTGTGGCTCAGGTTCCGTCACCGAGTCGTTCGCACCGAGTAAGTGGCTTGTTGCCTTTGATTTTGAGCCCTGACGTCATTTCCAGGTGCAAGAATCTCTTGTCTGAACGAGCTTTTCCTTGGCGATCTGAAGGCGTCAAGGAAGCGATTGGGCATGCCAGCAAGGCGTGGTGAGCAGGATGATTTACCTTCGATGCTAGGAAATATAGGCCATTACTTCACGTTGAAGGGCCGCGATGAGACCCTCGAGCATCAGATCCTGTCAGCTGCGCGGATCTTCTCGACTTTCATGAGCAAGGAAAGTGTTGACAGTTTACTGCGGAAAGATTTCATCACGATGCTAGTGGGATATCCTGGTGTAGGAAAGACAACCGTGGTAAGCTGCCTCTCAGCACTGCTACTGGAGAAATGGTTAGAGGTAAAGGACGATGCCAGGTTCAACTTGAAACTATGGGAGGTTGTTGATCCTCAAGTTGAAGATTTCAAGAACATGATGGACAGCGTAGTCAAGACGGACAAAGAAGTCTGCATGTATCACGTACTGGAGACGGGAATGTCTGGCAGCCGGCTGTGGGAAGAGAACAAGCCGTTGCCTTCATGCGGCAGTGACTGCGATTTCTACACCAAATTATAGTAATATGCTCGCATCTTTGGAACGCAGGGCCCCAGGTCTGAAGCAACAATTGACTCTTGACGATGTAATAGTTTTCATCAGGCGCGGGTTGGGATTTGGCGAAGGTGTTCCTTTCGTGGTATTTTGACGAGGCGAACAAGGCGACGAGAAGGGGGTTATGTTCTCGGAGTATGTTTCCTAGTTCAAACACAGTGGCAGTGAGACTTTTGTGCTGTTCACTGCAGCGACAACATGGCATTCTGTAGCATCACTCGCAGGGACAGGCACCGGACATGCGCAGACGCCCTATATTCCTCTGCCACCTTTGACAAATGACGACATGAATGAAGTGGCCCAGATATTCTTTGACAGGGTGATGAAAAACCAGGGGCCTCGTGTCACGCTTACAGATGAGTGGAAGAAGGTGATCCACATTGCGGGCGGTAATCCGAGAATGCTCTCATTCCTTATCAACTCTCTGATGACAGAGCTCCCACGTCCTATTAGTCTGCGTGAACTGAACATGCAGGAGGGATTGGATAAAAGGAAAGTAAGGAGCATGCTTGACAACGCATGGACCCTGTTTAGCAGTCGAGAACTGACTACAGCAAAGGCAAAACGCGCTAGATACTCCAGCCATCTACACTTCTGAACTAGGAGTTCCTGTGACACGAGGGGAGAAAGTGTGGGACGGCAGTGATGACACTTGGGGTGATCTTGAAGGACAGGGCATAGTCGGTTTGATTCAAGTAGAGTGAGATCGTCCACTAAGAAAAGCACACAAGAGCTGTGACGCCAAATTTGCTGCAGCTCTGTGTCAGGTTCCTGCCCCTGGTAGCTTATTGCGTGACACACTTGTCTGGCAGCGAATTAAGGGCTCTATGGCCGCCCTTGACTTCATCAAGCTGGACCGACAAGGAGGATGCGGACGTGCTTGGATTTGCGTTTATGATTCAGCTGAAAACGCTATTGAATAACGGTGAGAATACTTTCCATTTCGCACCTCATCCTTGTATTTTGCAGGTGCACCATTCACGCTAGGTGATATCGTACCACGCCACACATGGTTGAGTGATGACCTCCATCACATGCAGCTCCAGTTGCCTCAACCACCGAGTATGTTCGATTTTGGGGTTGGCCTGTACTTGGCTTACCAAATTCGTGATCCTGCAGACAGTATACAGTGGGACATTGTTCAACCAGAAAAAGCACCATGTTCGAAGCAAGAGTTTTTCGATCTTGTGGCTCGTCATCCAGGGTCTTTAATCTATAAACTGACAAAGAACTCGTACACGGATACAATCATGAAGCTTGAGAGGAGGATATTCAAAAGGGATGGTGAGGTAAAAGTTATTTTCATGCACATGGAAAGGAAGTACGGGTGCAAGAGCACCCTCCTTGATTGGGTGCTTGGTGAGGAAGAGGTACATTCATTGGACAGATGATGTGGCAGAGCTGCAAGAGAACATGCCAGGGATTCCAAAACACATTGTGATTGGAGGTGAATTTGGCAAGGAGAGCCCATTTGAGAGGGAGAGCTGTTGTGTGAAGTATTTGTTACAGTGTTGACTCTAAAAATGTTTCTGTTACACACAAGCCGTGTAATTTTCTTATGACTCCCAAGAACAAGAACAGGTCACATATTTCTAAACCTTATTATTATTAGACTTAAGAAGCATGAATTAATATGTATGCCATTGGGAGCATCAAAGTGCTAGGTTACATTAATTTATTACATTCTATACTCAGGCTGGAATGAGATTCATGAAAGGTGTAGCAGTTTGCATTTTTGTGGCAGTGTCACAAGAATCAAGTGGGGAGTCAAAGTGACTGTCAAATGAGAGTGGATTTGAAGTAAAAATTTGTGATTTACCCCACTATGTGTATAAGAGCAAAACATTGCATGTTTTGAGGGTTATAAAGTAGAATAAATTCCATTGGTATTTGAAGAACATAGAGTTTATCCAATCAAGTGGAAGTAATTCCTCTGCAATGCGAAAACGTTACAACATCGGGCCTTGCATATGCTGAGAAGGGGTTGCAAGAACATATCTAGTTGCAATAGAATAGTCATTGCATTAACTCACATTTGTTCTGAGAGAGTGATTAAACCGATGAGGGATGAGGCTCTACTTACGCTATAGAAGCCACCCA